TAAGAAGATTTTTGTGCAACATACTTAAGCTTTTCGAAGAAGTCGGCGAAAATAGGTCGATATTTTGGCAAAGTTTATGTGGTACGAGTACTTAAGGATGACATTTAAACAGCGGTTTTACTGAAACGAATATTTGGTTAAAAATATTTTTCTAAATCGACAAGCATCGACATACATACGTCAGCAAGCACTTCAGTTGCACATCAACAGTCTATTTCTAAACGTTAAAACAGTAATGAGTTTGAGAGGACTCGACACAAGGACGGTAATATTAATTTTATTAAAAATAAAAAGCGGTAATTTTGATACTTTAAACCTTATGAATGAGATCATCGCATCAATATTTCAGAGAAGAATGCTCTAATTGCGATAATTGAGTAAACAAGCTTGCGAACTTCGCCTTTGAAAAATAGAGACGAAATTAAAAATTATGAATTATTGAAAAAGAGAACCGGTTCTAAAAAAAATAAAAAAAAATAACAGCATGAAAAGATATTTTAAACGGTAAGATTTTACACGAAGTTCTAAATCCCCCAATGTGACAATGCAGATCTTGCTAACACAATTAAAAAAAAATTGTTCCATGGCTGACTAGACTATATATTTTTTCATATGGTACATTGTAGTGAGTACTTTTTATAATACGTGTTTTTTTCCTTCTTCTATTTTTGTAAATGGATTCTGTTGGAAATAAAGTTACTGTTATTATTATTATTATTACTATTATTATACTGAAAAATAAATGATAATTTTTAATATCAAATGCATATATCTCAATATTATTGTTTTTTTTTTGTGTTTCGGACACTTAAATATTTATTATTTAAAAAAATGTTTAAAAATGAACAATTTCTTAAGGAAAAATTCGAAAAGAAATTGTATATAAATAATTGATTACCATATGATTAAAAAAATATAGTGCAGTCATCAATGGAATTAATAAAAAAAAATGATAGCTAATTTCCAACCTCACAAATCCCAAGGGGACGCGGAATATTTTAAAATTGGGGAATTGGGAAATCAGAAAATTTTAAAAATCGAAAAATACAAAATTTCAAAAATCGAAAAATTGAGAAATCGATAAGTCGATATCCGAAAAAGTCGAAAAATCGAAAGATCGAGGAATCCGAAACATCAAAAAATCAAAAAATTTACATCTCGAAAAATTGAAAAACCCAGAAATTGAAAAATTTCCAAAATTGCAATGTTGAAAAATCGAGAAATCTAAAAACCCAAAAAAGGTCGAAAAACCGAGATATTAAGAAATCGAAACACAAATATTAAAGAACTGAAAATCGAGAAATAGAGAAATCTAAATTCTAGAATTTAAAAAAAAAATCGGAAAATTGAAGAAGCGAAAAACTGAAAAATCCAGACATTGAAAAAATGAAAAATTCCAAATCTGAAATGACGAAAATTTGGGATATCGAAAAACTGAAAAGCCGAAACATCGAAAAATCTTAAAACAGAAACATTGAGAGATCGAAATTGAAAAATGAAAAACTGAAAACTTTAAAATTAAAAAATCGACAAAACGAAAAGTCGAAAAATGAAAAAAATCGAGTAATTAAAAAATCAAAAAATTGAAAAATCGAAAAATTTAAACCCGAAATGTCCAAAATTCAAAAGATCAAGCACTCGAACCAAAAAATCATAAAACCAAAATGTGGAAAAATCGAAAAACCAAAAATTGAAATGTTCAACTGAGAAATCGAAATTTTGAAAAATTGAAAAAACCAAAAATCGAAAAGTCGAAAAATTTTAAAAATCGAAAACCGAGATATCAAGATATAATCCAATACCTAATTAAAAAATCAAAAAATATAAAATTTTAAAAATCTAAACATTCAAAAATATAAATATTGAAGAAATAAAAAACTGAGAAACCGGGAAATGGAGAAATTTAAGAAAACAGAAAAAATTAAAACATCAAATAATTGAAGAATCGAAAAATTAAAACATGGAGAATCGGAACATCAAATGTTTTAATTCTTAAGGTTTAACAATCTGAAAATTGAAAAATTGGAAAGTAGAAAATCGAAAAATCGAGAAATCGAAAATCCAAAATTTAAAAAATCGAACAAGTTCAAAAACCGGAAAATTGAAGAAGCGAAAATCTGAAAAATCGAGACATCGAAAAATTGAAAAATCAAAAATTTAAAACATCGAAGAATTGAAAAAACCAAAAATTGAAATCCGGAAAATCGAAAAATGGAGAAATGGAGAAATCGAAAATCCAAAATTTAAAAAATCGCAAAAATTCAAAAATCGAAAAACTCATTAAATGTGGTAAAATTAAGAAATCGAAACCTGTAAAATCGAGGAATCTAAGAATCGAAAAGTGGAAAAATTTTAAAAATCGAACAACGGGGAGTAATTGAAAAGTAAATAAAGTTGAAATTTAAAAAATACAAAAATTAAAAAATTGAAATATCGAAAAACCGAAAAATGTCGAAATTTCAAAATAGAAAAATTGCAAATAGAAAAATTGAAGAAACGAAAAAATGAAAGCTTCTAGAGTCGATCAATTGATAAAATGAAAAAAAGTTGAAAAAACGAAACATTATATGTAGAACCGAAACATTGAAATATGAGAAAAATAAAAATTGAGAAACTTAAAAATCGAAAGTGCGAAATCGAAAAAACGAAATATATGTTGGTTGTAAAATCGAAATATTGAAAAATAAAGAAATCGGAAAATCGGGTAATTCGAAATCCAAAAATTGATAAACTAATTTAAAAAATTGTAAAGTCAGGAAATTAAAAAATCGAAGATTGAAAATGTGAAAAATTGCATAAACGAAAATTTATAAAATCAAAAGAAACATTAAAAAAATCGAGGAAATGGAGGAAACGAAAAAAATTTGATGTAGAATCGAGAAAATGAAAATTTTCCAATTTTCAATCTTTCAGTGTTACAGTTTTTCGACTTTTTTGGAATTTTAATGATTGTATAATTTTTTGATTTTTCAATTTTTAGGTTTTCTAATTTTTCGATCCGATTTGTTTTTTCCTCTTTCTAATCTTAGGATTAATTTTGTTTTAATTCTTTATTTCTCTCTAACTTTCATAAAAAAATAAAAAACATTTTTTTTTCGATTTTTAAATTTCTCGATTTTTAGTTTTTCAGTGCTTCAGTTCTTCGATTTTCTACATTCTCCCTTTTGCAATTTTATTTTTTACAGTTTTTGGATTTTTTTACTTTTCGAATGAAAAAATGGAAAAAATGCTAAATTTAAAAATAAAAATGAAAAAACGAAAAAGTATAAAATGAAAATTTTAAACAATCTAAAAATTGGAAATCAAAAATTTGAAAAATTAAAGAAATGAAAAAAAAAATAAATAAAATCGAATTAAAAATTGAAAAACTTAAAAATCGAAAAAACGAAACTTAATGAAAATCGAAATATTGAAGATTAAAGAAATTAGAAAATCAGATAATTGGTAATCCAAAAATTGCAAAATTAAAACATTTAATAATTGGAAAATCGAGAAATTAAAAAATAAAAGAAAATTTTAAAAATTAAATAAACGAAAAATTACAAAATTAAAAGAGACATTGAAAATAGAAATATTGTAAAATCGAAATATTAAAAATTAAAGAAATCGGAAAATCGGGTAATTGGAAATCCAAAAATTGATAAACTAATTTAAAAAATTGGAAAGTCGGGAAACTAAAAATCGAATAATGAAAATTTGAAAAATTTATTAAACGAAAAATTATAAAATCAAAAGAAACATTGAAAAAATAAAGGAAACGATAAAATGTAATGTAAAACCGAGAAAATGAAAATTAAAAAAAAACGGAAAATGAATAACTAAAATTAAGAACTTGAAAAACTGAGAAAACAAAAATTGAATAATCGAGAAATTAAAAACTGAGAAACTCAAAAATCGAAAAATCAAAAACTGCAATGTCGAAATTTCAAAATTGAAAAACTGCAAATCGACGAATTGGAGAAACGAAAATTTGAAATGTTTGTAAGTCGAGAAATTGGAAAATTGAAAAAACGAAAAATCATGGAACCGAGACACTGAAAATGGAAAAGCTGAAAATTTTTATATAAAAAATTGCGAAATCAAAGAAAAAACAAAAAAGTCATTTTCCAATTTTCGATCTTCCACTGTTTCGACTTTTTTCACATTTTATGATTCCATAATTTTTTTATTCTACAATTTTTAGGTTTTCTAATTTTTCGATTCGATTCGTTTTTTCTTCTTTCTGGTTTTCCGATTTTTTTTCAATTTGAAAATGTTTCATTTTCCACTTTCTCGATTTTGCAATTTTTCGTTTTTACAGTTTTTTAATTTTTAACTTTTTAGTTTTTCGATTTTACAATTTTGCGATCTTTCTTTTTACTTTTCAAATGAAAAAATGGAAAAAATCCAAAATTGCGACATTGAAAAATCAAAAATGAAAAAACGAAAAAGTATAAAATGAAAATTTCGAAAAATCTAAAAATTGGAAATCAACAATAAGAAAAATTGACGACACGAAAAAAAAATTTAAATCGAATTAAAAATTAAGAAACATAAAAATCGAAAAAGTGCAAAATCGGTAAAACGAAATATGTGTTGCAAAATCGAAATATTAAAAAATATAGAAATCGGAAAATCAAATAATTGGAAATCCAAAAATTGCTAAACAAAATTTAAAAATTGGAAAGTCGGGGAATTGAAAAATCAAAGATCGAAAATTTGAAAAATTGTATAAACCAAAAATTAAAGAAACATTGAAAAAATAAAGGCATTGAAAAAATTAAAGTTGTCTAGGGTGAAAATTGAACACAGATTCGTACATCATTTATAAATTTAAAACATTTTATTATTGTAAATTTTGGAAATGACAATAAGCTTACGTTCAAGAAGTAAAAATAAGTAGCCAGTTGTCCTATAGGACTCAATTACAATACTTCCTTAGCTTAGGCTCTGGAAGTAATAAATTATTATAATTAAAACGTTTAAATAAATAAATAATAATAAAATTTGTCATTTTGCAGTAGCCAGATTCCGCCAAACAGCAGTCTGAGGACCACCCCCCACCCCCACCCCTTAGTATACTCCGAGTATTAGAATGGAATTTCAGTGTCATGGTGTTTTCAGCGTTATGTGTGTACATAATATATTACTGAGAAGCTTAGCCTATTAACATATTATAATAATAAGTTATATTATAATAATTTTGTATATACTATACATATATATATTTCTAATAAATTACTGTACCAAAACCGTGCTGTTCCCTCGCTCATGAAAGTAAAATAAATCACGTAAACCCATCCCAAACCCTGTCCGAAACTTTCAAACAAATATTTTCATTAATTTAATAAACACGCTTCATGTTTACAAATTGAAGAGGTGGATTATCGATTTCGCTATTGTTGAAACATTAACAATAATATCAGCGTTCCAGCGAATCCCCGCTTCCATTTCCAAATTAGCTTATTCTGCTTTCACGTTCCCCCGTCAAAAAGCTTTTTTTACGACTACCTAAAAGTGTTTATGGTCGGCAATAAGAACTTTCAGCCAAAGTCTTCGACTTTATCGACGTACGATGGAAAAAACGAGACACGTGAACAAGGTGGAGAGGTTGTAAAACTATGGACGAGACGGCGAGATTGGGCCGGGATGGGTAGATAAAGTAGCTTTCAAGCTCTATTTGGGGCAAGTCGAAGAGTCAATCCTCGGGAAAGGAATTTTCTCGGACTATTTTGTAAGAATTGCGTAAATTAATCTGAGAATAGATTGTGGCTTTAATTTGGGTAATAAATTGAAGCGGATTTATTGGCGCGAGTTTGGGGAAATTAAGCGGAACTGGAAAATTTACAGTATTTGAATAAATCATCTTGAAGGGGCGTGTTTTTCAGTTGCGCTTTATTGTTTGAAAAACACAGCGAGGCGAACATCGACGTGAATAGGTAAGTATTGATTTTCAATTATTACTAAACATGATGGTGTTAGAGCTGGTATATGGGAATTTTCCTCAACTTTTGTAATCGAAATTTTAATTGACCTTGCCAGGGGCAATTTATTACTTTTTATAACGTAACATAACATTATAATGCGAAGCTAATTTTTTAAACCGTCCAAACAATAACAGAGAGAACTCGTAGCACAAACATTTACGATTCCCGTTTCCGTCCATCGGTTTTGTATTCGTTGAAAATTTTTCGGAAAAATAATCTCCGAAACTAGTGCATCTATGTATTATTGTTTTAAATTAGATTTCAAGGTCACTTCAAAATGTTGTTACATATTAACTGAGAGCAACTTTTGACAAATAAATGTAATATATAATTGGTGGATAATTTTTGTCCTGAAAAAGTCAAAAAAGTTTCTGGTGAAACTCTGATCACAATTTGTATGATCATCTCACCAACAATTTGATGACGTCGCCTCAAAATTTTGCTAAATAAATCCTGTTTCAATTTTATATAATAACTTACTTCTACGCCACCTGTGATAAATTATTTGGCAACATTTTCCAGTTTAACTTAGAAAATGCAAAACCGCATACTCTGAAATATTCCAAACGTTGTAAGAATATCGTAAGCATGGTAAATCGCTCAAAAAATTTTGTTTAATTTGTCACTTTTTTGTTCGTTTGTCTGGTGCCTTTTTTTCATATTTTTTTACTCTCTTTTTACACCTTGTTTCTCCTCTTTTTCGTCTATATGTTTTTTAGCGCCTTCTTGTTGACGCTTTTTTGGTCGTTTTTTAGCACCCTATTTGCCCTTATGTGCTTTGTACATTGTAATTTATCGGTTATTATCACTATCAAAAATAGCTTTTTGTCACATTTTTGTCTTTTTTTCTTCGTCTTTTCTTTGGGGCTTTTTTTACGTTTTTTTTCGTGCTTTCTCTGGCGCTCTTCTTTATCACATTTTTTTGTCACTTCTTAGCCGAGTGTTCAATCGCTTTTTGTCCTCTTTTTCGGTTTCTCTTTTTTATTATTTCATCCCATTTGTTATGACCTTTTTGGGAGCTTTTTTTGGTCGTTTGTTTGTTACAGTTTTTCCATATTTTTTACTCCCTTTTTATGGTTTTTTTGGTGAAATTTCTTGACACCTTTTTTTTTCATTTTTATCGCCTTTTAGTCCCGTTTTCATCCTCTTTTATTTCCCTATCTCGGTATTCTTGCGTTTATAGCATTTTATTGATAGCTTTTTTAGAGCTATTTTGGTGTTTTTTGTAGCCCTTTTTTGCACTTAAATATTCCAACGGCGATTTCTGAATCGTAACTAGCGGAAGATTATCTACAATTTGACACCAATTTTCAGTCGATTAAACCAATTTTCACTACTTTTTTGGAAAATTTTTGGAAATTTTGAATTGACTTTTCATGTTTGTTGGACCAGATATCGTGGCGGCGAATTCAGAATCGTAACTAGCGGACGATTATCTAAAATTTGACACTAATTTTCGTTCGAATAAACCAATTTTAACCACTTTTTTGGAAAATTTTGGAAATTTTGAATTCACTTTTCGTGTTTATTGGACCAGATATCGTGGCGGCGATTTCAGAATCGTAAATAACGGAAGATTATCTACAATTTGACACAAGATTTTTGAAAATTTTGAGTTCAATTTCTATGTTTATTGGACCAGATTTCGTGGCGGCGATTTCAGAATCGCAAGTGGCCGAAGATTATTTACTATTTGACCACAATTTTCTGTCGATTAAACCAATTTTAACCACTTTTTTTTATTTTTGGAAATTTTGAATTCACTTTTCGGGTTTATTAGACCAGATATCTTGACGGCGATTTCAGAATCGTAACGAGCGGAAGATTATTTACAATTTGACAAAAATTTTCGGTCGATTAAACCAATTTTAACCACTTTTTTGGAAAATGTTTGAAAATTTTGAGTTCACTTTTCGTGTTTAATGGACCAGTATCGTGGCGGCGATTTCAGAATCGTAACTAGCGGAAGATTATCTACAATTTGACACCAATTTTCGGTCGATTAAACCAATTTTAACCACATTTTTGGAAATTGCTTGGAAATTTTTGATTTCACTTTTCGTGTTTATTGGACCAGATATCGTAACGACGATTTTAGAATCGTTACTAGCGGAAGATTATCTACAATTTGACACCAATTTTCGGTCCATTAAACCAATTTTAACCATTTTTTTGGAAAATTTTTGAAAATTTTGAGTTCACTTTCCGTGTTTATTGGACCAGATATCATGGCGTCGATTTTAGAATCGCAAGTAGCCGAAGATTATCTACAATTTGACACCAATTTTCGGTCGATTAAACCAATTTTAACCACTTTTTTAAAAAATTTTTGAACATTTTGAGTTCACTTTCCGTGTTTATTGGACCAGATATCGTGGTGGCGATTTCAGAATCACAAGTAGCCGAAGATTATCCACAATTTGACACCAATTTTCAGTCGAATAAACCACTTTTAACCACTTCTTTGGAAACTTTTTGAAAATTTTGAGTTCTCTTTCCGAGTTTATTGGACCAGATATCGTGACGGCGATTTCAGGATCGCAACAATGGGAAGATTATCTACCATTTGACACCTATTTTCGGTCGATTAAACCAATTTTAACCACTTTCTCGGAAAATTTTTGGAAAGTAGTTAAAATTGGTTTTTTCGACCGACAATTAGTGTCAAATTGTAGACAATCTTCCGCTAGTTATGATTGTGAAATCGTCGCCACGATATCTGCTCTAGTAAACACGAAAAGTGAATTCAAAATTTTCAAAAATTTTCCAAAAAAGTGGCTAAAATTGCTTTATTCGACCGAAAATTGGCGTCAAATAGTAGATAATCTTCCTCTAGTTACGATTCTAAAATCGCAGCCACGATATCTGGTACAATAAACACGGAAAATAAGCTCAAAATTTTCCAAAAAAGGGGTTGAAATTGGTTTATTCGACCGAAAATTGGTGTCAAATTATAGACTACCTTCCGATCGTTGCGATTCTGAAATCGCCGTCACGATATCTGGTAGAATAAAGACGAAAAGTGAATTCAAAATTTTCAAAAATTTTCCAAAAAAGTGGTTAAAAATGGTTTAATCGTCCGAAAATGGGTGTCAAATTGTAGATAATCTTCCTCTAGTTACGATTCTGAAATCGCCGTCACGATATCTGGTCCAATAAACACGGAAAGTGAACTAAAAATTTTCAAAAATTTTCCAAAAAGTGGTTAAAATTTGTTTATTCAACCGAAGTTTGTATTTGTTTTAATTGTAGATAATCTTTTGCTAGTTGCGATTCTGAAATCGCCGCAACGATATCTGGTCTAATGAACACGCAAAGTGAACTCAAAATTTTCAAAAATTTTCAAAAAAGTTGTTAAAATTGGTTTTATCGACCGAAAATTGGTGTCAAATTGTTGATAATCTTCGGCTACTTGCGATTCTGAAATCGCCGCCATTATATTTGGTCCAATAAACACGGAAAGTGAACTCAAAATTTTCAAAAATTTTTCAAGAAAGTGGTTAAAATTTCTTTATTCGACCGAAATTTGTTGTCGAATTGTAGATAATCTTCCGCTAGTTACGATTCTTGAAATCGCCGCAACGACATCTGGTCTAATAAACACGCAAAGTGAACTCAAAATTTTCAAAAATTTTCCAAAAAAGTTGTTAAAATTGCTTTTATCGACCGAAAATTGGTGTCAAATTGTAGATAATTTTCCGCTGGTTACGATTTTGAAATCGCCACATAGATATCTGGTCTAATAAACACGCAAAGTGAAGGCAAAATTCTCAAAAATTTTCCAAAAAAGTGGTTAAAATTGGTTTAATCGACCGAAAGTTGGTATCAAATTGTCGATAATCTTCGGCTACTTGCGATTCTGAAATCGCCGCCATGATATTTGGTCCAATAAACACAAAAAGTGAACTAAAAATTATCAAAAATTTTCCAAAAAAGTGGTTAAAATAGGTTTATTCGACCCAAAATTGGTGTCAAATTGTAGATAATCTTCGGCTATTTGCGATTCTGAAATCGCCGCCATGATATCTGGTCCAATAAACACGGAAAATGAACTCAAAATTTTCAAAAATTTTCCAAAAAAATGGTTAAAATTGGTTTAATCGACCGAAAATTGGTGTCAAATTGTAGATAATCTTCCGCTATCTACGATTCTGAAATCGCCGCCACGATATCTGGTCCAATAAACACGGAAAGTGAACTCAAAATTTTCAAAAATTTTCCAAAAAAATGTTTAAAATTGGATTAATCGACCGAAAATTGGTGTC